GCGATTGTTTGACAGCACTAATATATATATATATATATATATATATATATATATATATATATGTAATTTAATATTAAGTATTTTAAATTCTTAAAAATAAATACATAACACTACAAATATCTGTATTTATGATCAATATATTAATATAAGTTATAATCTCTAATACATCTCTAATACCTTTAAAAATCTGAAAAAAGGAGTAAGTGAAGAATGAGCCATACTGTCTCACCTGATGTCCGAACTGGTTGCAGGGAGCGCCCAGGATCACGAGCCCCTGATCAGCGTAGCGGCTGTGGAGCTCGTTCAGCTGGGTGTAATCCCTGACTGTTGTGCCTCAAAGCGACGCCACATTTTCAATAAGCACCACTTTACCTTTGAGAGAGGAAAAATTCAGGAGGTCCCCTGACAAAAGTTTGACGGACAGATCATAAAACTTCTTCGCGGCCCCTGCCATGCTCGAACACGCCGTTCACTACGCAGTTCGAAGCGCAAAGTGACGTTTCTTCTTCTTCTTCTAATAACGTTTTATGGCGGATGGCAAACCAACTTCTGGTGCATTTACCGCCACCAACTGGACTGGAGTGTGGAGCACTAATAAATACATATTTATATTTATCTATATTTTATAAAAAAACAAAAAAAAAAAACAAACCACACACATTCCTAAATTCTCCTGATTAATCCTATTCCTTTCAAAGTGACGTTTTACCAACAAACCTTCAGTTGAACCTTGAACTGAACCTTGAGTCACAGGGAGAGGAGGCGCGTAAATACAATTCCAGGAAGTGCATGTTGCAGCTAGGCAGATCAGCAAGAGGTAAATACTGGTAAAATACTGCCATCTTCTGTCAAATGGGTAAATTGTAGTGATGTTACATATGACACTGAAGCTTCAAAGCGCGTATCGAGTAAGCAGCGCAATTTCTCACGAAGCTCTGTGCCGGAGCGCGTATTGTTTTCAGAGAATCACGTGATCAGCAGAAAACTAAGCCTCACTATCTGTCCAATCACGTGCGCGTGTCGGAATGTTCGAAACACCAGGGGCAAGTTCAAGCTCAAACCGGTGTGCACCGTTTTGCTACGGTTTCCAGTTTGAACGACATGTTTCCTAGAAACGGTGTGCAACGGGGTTTGAGATGCGTTTTCTCTTGTTTGGTGGGTGTGTCAAACATGTCAGCCCAATCAGCAGCAACATGTTTGTAAACCACGTGGTATTAAAGAGACAGCCCGCACAATGTAATTAACATCAAAATAAATTCACAAGAGCAAGTATATTGTTTGCACATGTTTATTTACATTAAAGGCAAAATAGCTGAAATAATAAGGGCACAAGTACCTGGAACTTCTTTAAGTCTGTCTAAATATCATTTAGTAATTGCAATGTCTTCTGGTCCATATCCTTTCCTTAGGAAGGTGTGCTAAATACTGATTAATGTAACATAAAAATACTATACATATTTATATATTTTGCTATTGTATTATGGAGTGACACTTTCATAAACTTTTCTATACCCCTCTGATTATATAATGGTAAATATTACAATATCATAGCACAACAACAGTGATCAGCAATAATGATAAGCCTAATACTCACAATAAAAATAATATGGTCATAGATCATAACACAGTCTTGGAGGTAAGAAGTGGATTATCCTTCACCTGAAATATTTGTCTTTTCATCCTGACGTTTTGCACCGTTTTTGTCAGGGCTGAACGCAGCCCAGATCTTACTGTACGAGTAAGTTTTCATTCAGACTTATTCAATTACATTTTTAAATACCCAGCCATACAAGTAATATGACGAATAAAAACTATTTCAGAAAAAAAAATATTTGGCATGTGCAATTCATATGTGTACATTATTCTTCTATTACATCATATTGATATTCATATTGGCATTTAATGCCACAGTTTAATGGGAAAATTATTTTATCAGAGAGCGAAATTCAACAAACAAACAAACATACACACACTGTTAGGCTTTTATTCGTGCACGTAACATGAGTCAATCTATGGATTTTTTTTTTTTTTTTTTTTTTTC